GGAGGAAGCTGCAATACGTCCCGCGAAGTCGAAGATGCGGAGTGCGCAACAACTGTCGACTGTGGGGTTCTTGATGAAACTTCTAGGTCCACTTGCTTGTCGGGTGACAGATGTGCCTGTGATAGGGTAACACCCGGTTGTGAAGAAAACAGGATGCCGGGGACATCTGACGAACTTGGCTGGTGCGGTGGTTGGCGGGACGAAACAGTGAACGGCCGGCGCTGTGGAACTTTAACCGACGTCACATCCTGCTGGGGTTCCGGTCTTCCGTCAGCTGCGTTAACATAAGAGCAGCTGTGATCAGCTCCCGACAGAGTAATTTGCAACTCGCGCACAGCATCGATGCCGAGTAAGGAACGTCCATTTTGACAGGCATAGAACTCCAGTGATGCAAAACGGTTCTTAAAAACGATCTGGCCAGTGAAGCTTCCAAGGACAGGAATGGTTTCATGCATGTAGTGAACAAGTCTTCGTGCAGGTGGATGTAACTGAATCTGTCCGGAGCGATTAATGTAGTCTTGTGCGAATAGTGGATTTTGAGTTCGAAGCGATTTCTAAGCGAATAGTGGTCTTGGCCGAATATTTTCGAATCGAATATCGAATAGTTTTTCCACGCCTTTCACTACTATAACATAATGCTTAGACAAAACCCCAGCGAAACTTGTGAAGGTTGCTTCACCTGTTCATTTATGAGCAGAGTTTAATCTATCTATATTTATGAACTGTGACCTCAGAAGGTCTGATGTCTCGGGACGGTAAGTAAACAAGTTTGACATAAAATGAATCCAATGGAAATAGCCAACTGTATACCCAATTGAGTGAATTTACAAATCTTAAATATTCTCTTTTTAATTTCGAGTTAAAAAAATGACTTGCGCATGGTGAATGCAGGTTTTAAGGGCATCTCTGCCCAACATATACTCTCGCGAAACAGTCAGTTTAATTTTAAAACGTTTAATACAATGTAGATACTGTAAAACCCTTAATGTTCACGAGCCCTTAATTTTCGCGAATATCGCAAGTTGAAAAATATTGTGAAACTTAAAGGCACGCAAAAATTTTGGTCTTCCAAGAATTTCAATGCAGGTCTCTGGAATTCGCGAACTTTAGTGGCCGCGATATGTCCTCTGTGACCGATTCGCGAAAAATAGGGGCCCCGAAAATAAAGGATTTTACAGTATACACATTCACAAAGTTTCCATTTATTTTCATATACAGCCGGCACGCGTGCACCATCGCGCTTTGAATGTATGGTTTTCGTCCAAGCACGCAACTGCGATATTCATACTTTTCCAAATGTTTATCGCGGCGGGTTACTCCGTTGAGTGCGCTTCTTAACGAGCACTGATGTAATGTGGAGAAGCACCACCCGCGGAGCTTGCTTTCGCGGGTATTGCTTCTCCGCAGTGCACCGGTGCTCGGTAAGAAGCGCACTCAACGGGGCTAACCCACCGCAATCAACTCTTCGAAAAACGCGAATAGTGAAGTTCTTCTCGAAGCGAATATCGAATAGTGTATTATTCGGAACTACTATTCGAAATTTCGAATATTCGCACGACCCTAGATTAATGTCATTAAAAATTCTCGCGTTTAAAATCGAGACGTGGGATCCGGTATCAATCAGGAGCTTTAAAGGTAGTCCATTTACCTGTACATCAGCGATGAAGGCATTTAGTCGGCTTCGGTCGACTACAGGGGCGTCGTCGACGGACGTGACGTTATACTGGTAGTCGCAGTCGTCGTGCACTCCAACCGTGGCTGGGCCGGATCTCCACGGAGGTGAAGGGCCGTGTTGACGTTCATGGGCGTGGCCCCGGGAAGGAAGGGACGCTTGTCGTTGATCATATACGAAGGAATCTGACGGTGGTTGGCGACTCCTACAAACAGCGGCGAAGTGGCCCATCTTCAAGCAACGGAAGCACTGAGCGTGGAGTGCCGGACAGACGTCACGCGCATGGTTGCGACGTCCACAAAACCAGCAGAGGTCGGGGCCGCCTGCTCGCTCGCCCATTCGTGAAGGAGGAACGTCACGACGCTGTTGAGGACCCACTCGCGCTTGCGGCCGCGGTACATGGTTGACTGCTGGAGGGCAGGGAGTCATCCGGGACGTCCTTGATGTTGGCGTGTACTGACGATAGGGCCAGGTAGAAAAACCTGGGTGGCCATCTTGGTTGAGTCCCTGGGATGCCAGTCGCCCTTGACCATCTTGATATCCCCGTCTTGGTGCGTGCGCCTGTTCGAAACGGGGTTGCTCGATGTACTGGACTTCACCGGAGCTTGAAGATGTCCCCGATACCGACGTCTGGCGTTGGTGAAATTGTTCGGAGGTCCGAGCCAGTTGCTCGAATTGTAGAGCGAGCTGTACTGCCCGGTTAAGTGTAGGTACCGCAGTGCCAACGCACTCACGTAGGATACGATCCTGAACTCGTCTGGAATCGAGGCCCTCAAGGAACACGTCGCACAGATGTTCGTCTAGTGCAGTACCATATGCACAAAAAGAACCCTGATGTCTTAGAGCAGCCAGAAATTCTGAAACTGTCTCTCCAGGCAGCTGAGTCCGAGAGCGCAGTTTCTTGCGCTCCAAAGCAACACATCCCGAAAATTCAAAGTGTTTTTCGAGCGCGGCTAAAAACGCTTCAAACTCGTTCAGATGCTCCGTGGCCGGCACGGTGTTCAGCTGAAAAGCAGAGACAATGCGCTGCCCTTCTACTCCCAACATCGAAAAAAGGACATGCTTCTTCTGAGCCGGCGGAACGTCGTGGATACCGGTAGCATGGAGGTACGAAAGAAAGGCCTCCTTCCACGCCGGCCAGGCCTGTACAGGTGTGCCGGGAACGGCCAAGAAGACTGGAGGTGGAGGAATCGCCGCCGCGATATTAGTCAATGCTGATTGAGCCATTGTCAAGTAGGCTTAGATGGGCATGTGCATTCTAATATCCCATCCTCGTCGCCATTTTGTAATTCTCCGCTGCTGTGGTGTCAAACAAGCCTTGAACGCCTTTGGACCTCACTAGATCCGCGCTTACATGGATGGTGTCGGCCGGCTCCGGGGCAGAACCTGCCGATGGGAACGAGACGACAGGCAACCGATCTCGACGGTGACGAGGGCAGATCTGAGGCGAGCGCCTCGAGCAGATTTATTGTTCATATTTTTGGTGGCCGAATCATGTCCTGCCGCCACGCGGCCCGTGGTTTTATAGAACACGTGACACGTGCAATCGGCGCCTTGTAGGTGGTGCCATCTCTGAATGAAGGACGGCCGTAAACATAATCACTACACACGGCGGCGCCCTTAGGAGGAGCGAAGGTGCAGGTTTTCCCGATTTTGAGCAGTGAAGGAAGGGTGTAATGTTGACGCTTAGCAGAGAGTGGAGGGGGGGACGCAGGCAGAGTAAGGAGGCAAAGCAGTGTAGGGAAGGCAGGTGGAAGGTGATGCGTTTTGGCGGAACATATTTTGTGGTTCAAGTTGGGTTTAAAAAGTAGAGATGTTATAGTGAAATGAAATGCGGTGCAAGTTTCTCAATCCCACCAACATCACGCGTAGTGACTGGATACTGCCAAAGTGGGATTTCGTATAACTTGAGTAATGCTCGAAAACACCTGTCTTAAAGTTATCGTTAGCAGACGACCGGGGAAGGTGCTTCCTTGTCGCTTTCTCGTCGTCGTGCCATTAGTGGCCGGTCGTCGGGTTATTCCTCTCTTCCGTCTTTCCGTGGCGTGGCCAATGGGAACATTGGACTTGTCTCTCCTCGCACCATGAGGGGAGAGAAGGGTTTTTTCTTCTTCGCCGCGATGACAGACAGCCAACGCCGACACCAAAATCCTCGCAGTGTCACCCGTAAAGCTATCGCTTTAGAAGGAATCAATTCTTTTTTACTCACATTACTGACTGCTGCAGATGTTGTGGTACGAGTTGATATGGAGATTAGGCAACCATTTAACTAAACTTCACTACTTAAACTTTATTTTTAAAATGCTCTTATATTTTTTTAATTATAATTTTTCTAGGCCAGTTTTGGGTTAATTTATATTGTGGTAAAGTTCCACCAACTGTAATTGTTTTATTCTTTAACTTTACTGTCAGTAAGAGGTTTCATGAGTAAAGTCAATATAGTAAATTGCTTTTGAAATGAAAGTGCAAAAAAAAAAAAGATGGTAGAGAGATGAGGTCTTAAGGGGGCACACCCCCTAGGGGGGTCAACTTTTGAACCCTTGTCTTATAATTAATGAAATTTACAGGGTAGGCTGGTGGTCATGCTAGAGGGTGTATAACAAAATTTCAGGTCTGTCGGTTAAGTGAGAAGGAAATAAGGGTAGCTTCTATCAGCAACACGCCTACGTTGTTTAGTTAATCTATCGTCAGAAAACTGTTGCGATATTAAAAATTTTTATTTGCTAGATATGTAGCAGAATGCATAGAGGATGCGGCTATGGAACATTTTTTTCTAAAAAGTAATTTATTTCTATAAATTTTCTCTTCTGCAAAATTGGTCAACGTTTTGGTCTTCTGTGCCTTCGACAAAATGTCAACATTTTTTACAAAAGACATCCGTAAAGTGACGAAAAAGTTCCATAGCCGCACTCCTTATTAAATTTCAGTCAGGAAAAGGGAAGAATGAGCTTTCCCTGTTTTGCCATTATCAAACGATAGATTGACTAAAATGGAATTTATACCAAAAAGTGGAACGGAGAAAAATGTGTTCAAAGTGCTCCAAACCCTACCTTTTCTATAGCTTTGGTGGACAGAAAATAATTTATAAAAAATTAACTATATAGTGAAAATTAATGAAACTTTTTGGGAATACTCTCTAGATGTTGGTGGATGTAAAAATGTAATTTTTCAAAATCAACTCTTTTTGCAGAAATTTTTTTTTCTGGGCAGTGTCTCCCCTTAAGAAGAAACTTGGGAAGAGACTAACTTTGCCCAGTGATTAGTGTTCACGGTATCCGAGCCCTCCTTTGACGTACTCTGTGGTGGCTGCCCTTCTGCCTCCTTGCAGCGAGCAGCACTGACTCGGGCCCGGTGTACACGTCGCGGACGTCGGTGGCAACACTGCTTGCTGCGGTGGAGCGCCTGGTCGTCCGCAAGAAGCCCCAGTGAGAAACGCCCCGTCATTCGTCGCACGGGGTGCTTTGCCTGGCCTCACTCCAGGAAGCAGAATGCTCTTATGGGTTACTTTGACGCACATAACACCTAGTTACATGGTCACGAGGCCACTATAGTTGTGACGTGCTCCACCAGGGTTACAAGATCACGTAATGTGATAACATATAACGGGTCACGTTACATACTGAATATCTGCGTGATGTCACCATTACATTGTGGTGTCTCGAGACGTCAGATCGCGTGACTGTTGCGGCTCACCTGACTCCAGTGTCATGCAATACCCTGACATCACCTAACTCGATGTGGCGTGTTCACGACGTCACATGACCACCTTCCTTTAAAGTGTGCGGGAAAAAATGTGTCACCCTATAACAGCCTCTCAGTTCGCAAAGGACCAAGGTGCTTTTTAGTTAGCGTAAAGCGTTAAGTGAGAAGTAAAGGGAATGCAGCTGCTGGGGGGCCTACTTATTGCTTCAGGGAGCTTTCAACTTTATTGTGTACTTCAAAGATGACTAATTGTTTGTCAGCAGACCTCTGTTGCAATGCAGTGGCATCTCAATAACCCTCGAGAGACATTGGTTTTGACAAGTCTGGGCACCTACCTTCCACGAGGTGACATCTCCGATTGCTGTCTGAAATGACAGAAATAATCCCGAATACTTAAATCGGTTGCCACCCGCACAGGTGCCGAGACAGCATTCTTTGTCTTTGTCTTTGCTTTATCTGCAGGCAGTGTTTTCAGTGATGCTGGTCCCTCGTTGCAGTGCCAACACCCTGTGGGATGGCCTCCGGCTGCAAGTAAACTTCCTGCAGGCTGCGCTGGCAGCCGAATTTTGTGGGCACCACGTGGCGGCGCTTCAGTATGTCGAGCTCTGGTGGGACCAGCAAGAGAGGTGAGCAGCGTTTGAGTCATGGGTCAACAGTTTCTTGCAGCAAACAACTGTCGCAAGCACATCTCAAAAAGTGTTGCACGAGTCAATGCTTTTGTAGCAGGATGGGCGTAGGTGTACAATCCTACGTCCATTAGGGGCGAAGCTCCTTAGTGTTTAGCCTTGTCCGGCGTCCGTGCTCATATCTATTGCCATCCCATCTGTCTCCCTGAAAAGAAAAATGATTGCGCAGTCAACAGGATTCGAACCTGTGCGGGGAGACCCCAATGGATTTCTAGCCCATCGCCTTCAAGGGCAACTCCGGCCAAAACTCAAAATGATTTAAATTACTGGTATTGCTTTAGTGACACAAAATACGACCCCAGCCAAAATTTCACGTCCGTGGGACGCCGCATTCTCAACTAATGCCGATAATAAAAACGGGACCCGCCGCGAGCCGCTGCTCCTTAGCGGGCGGCCAGCGGGTTGCCGATCGCTAAAGCAACATTGGGCCGTGATGTCAACATCGTCCTCTTTCTTTCCTCCGTTCCGGACGGGCGCACGGCGCAGCCGTCGCGCGCGCTTCTTGTGCCGCTACCACTGCAACTTCGGCTTGTAATTGCGTGTTTAGTCGTTGTTTTTACCTCTAGCCCGTGTAGCTTCGGTATAGCCTTTTGCTTTTGCTTGTGAGGACTCCTAGATTCGTTTTAGCGAGCAACTCGGTGCACCCAAGACTGCCCAGCTGTTCCTCGAAAGATGCCGAGTACAACTTAAAGCGCTGTGGGCTGCTCAAACAAGCCGCTGCGCAACCCGGAGGTGCTTTTTCACAAGTTTCCAACAGATCGGAAATTGGAGAAGGTGTGGGTGAACGCTGTTCGACGAGTGAACTTTGGAAAGCCTTGGACGTTGACCCCCAGATCGAAGCTCTGCTCCGATCATTTTTCGCCGGAGAGTTACGAACGAAACCTACAGGTCTTGGTTGCTTGTGGCTTGTTAGCGAAGGGGTCGAGGCTTAAAAAGGATGCCGTGCCGTCGCTCTTTGCCCATCGTACATGTACAGAAAAGGTAAACATGATAAAAGTATCCTGATCAATAAATAAAACAGTCATTGTCAAGTGCAGTGTTGAAGATTGAGCATTCACGCTCCATCGAATGTCTGTTGAATGGGGAATGGTGGTCATGTAGAGTACAGACACTAAGTAGCTCCAAACACTGAAGTTTGTAATGAAAACAAAAAAAATGTTCTACTTTGCGTCACTGCTTGTTTACTACGCAATCTCGTGCGTAGTATTCAGGTCCGTAACGACTACTAGCGAACAGCCGGCGCGTGAAGCTCATGCGATATAAACATTCGCCTCCCAATCGTTCGAACCCGTTACGCAGCAGTATTAATTAACATTGCACTTGTGAATACCACAAGGGACTTTAAAGAAATCGCGAAAGTTCGGATTTGTAAGTTACAACTCTCTAATTTGCCCGAGTTCGGCTGGAGGTAAATATAATACTTAAAAATGCAAAAAAAAAAAACAAAAAAAAAACATTTGCTTTAGTTAAAAGTTACGAAGCAAAACTTGAAATCCGATGTATTCTAATAAAAAAAATGTTGGTGGGGTTTGGGAATGCGGAAGGGAAAGAAAGTGTTCTCACCTTGCTAACGTTCTCTGTTTTCCTTTATCCCCCACAAAAACTTTTGCTAGCTTTGAGAAGAAAATGACTGCCCAAAGAACTTTTTTTTTTAGTGCGGCAAGATTTTTTTTATTTGTACAAAGATTCACTACCTGGACGAACTTATGTGGTGAATTAGTGCCGTAGCTTACAAATTCGGCTTTCACGCGCCTGAGGAAAAAATAACGAAAAAACAGACTTCTACAGCTTGACACACGTCTGTTCGGTTGTCGCGGAACGCGCCAGAGAGCCTCAAAGCTTCGTGTCTGGGACTGGCCCGCCGCGCGAAAGCGCCAGCACTGTACGTCACTGGCAGCGCGGCGTAGAGCAACGCCGCTCCATCCACGGAGCCCCGATGACAATTTAGGCCTAGCGACGAGTGCGGGAGACCGCACGCACGCCGACAGCTGCCGAGTACGGCACCGAACGAGTTCACTCGTTTTCCAGTCGCTAGCTTTTGGGTATACAAGCAACGAGTACGGCACGGCATAGCGTACGCGCAGCGGTGGCCGCCGAGTACGCCACTGAACGAGTTGACGGGTTTTCCAGTCGCTAGCTTTTGGTTATACGCACTAACTCTTCCTACGTGTGCTGGATAACTACCACGTATACAGAATTAAAACAAAATCAGCTTACCTTCTATCTTTAGACGGCTAGCGCAACAAAGGTAGGTGCCGCTTGGACTGCGTACTCGCTGAACGAGAACGATCTTGGCGTCACGTCCACATAACGGCTGATTTCCAGTGTTGCCGGAACCTCGAGCGGCTAGTTTCGGTTTTGTCGGCCGCGCCCCAAACAAAACTTTGAGACGTCAATATCTTTAAAACTACGTACAATAACGAAAAAAAAATTACACCTTGCAATTCAGGGGCGCTAATTGCACTAAAAACAGCCATAATCCCAATATAGAAAGTATGGACCGGAGTTGCCCTTTAAAGGGTAACTGCAAAGAAAAAAAAGATTTTTTTTAAACAGCCTATTTGGGACAAGCATGTCACAGAACAAATGTTCCGCGAAAAAAATGATTTTTTTATCAATATTTACGCCACAGGACGTAATTTAGTAGAGTCAGAACCTCTCCACATTTGAAACTCCCGCTCTTTCGACCCCCGCGGAAGAGGAGTACGCCCCGCCCCTCACTCTCCTTGGGTTGCGGAGTTGAACGACGCAGCGTCTCGACTTCCGGCAAGATCTGGCAACTACGCCAGGCCGCGGTATTGTTTTGGTTTGATGCGGTTTGGCGAGCACATGTAGCGAAGACGTGACCGAAGAAGTACCCCTGTGATGTTCCCGGAAGACGGAAAATATCGTTTGTAATCGTCGTGCGTGCTTTGAAAGCGAAGGGAGTCACAGAATCCACGAGTGCGCAACCACAAGCCAGCGACAGCGCTGCGTTGGTTTCGGCGATCTCGTTCTGTTTGGTGCAACACGGCGATGCGACAGAGCTGAAACGTTCGTGGTGTGTGTAATGCGGTGCTATGTGTGTTATGCGGGGTTGACGTACAAAGGGGTCCAGTCCCGTCGTCGTCAGCTGATCCAGTAAAACTGGCCCGGGAGGACGCAGCGAGCGTTTTTAAAAGTAAATCTTCCTCCGTTCTGTTTCAAAATGTGAAAGATTCCGGACGCATACCGTAAGTAAAAGGCTGCGGGCGTTTTCAAATAAATTACGTTGTTTTAATTGAACAATGGACTCTGAATTGTTGTCCTAAATCTGCCGTTTTTATGCTTCGTATTGTTGGACTGCGTTTGCACAGCGACGTGTTGCGCTTGTCGTGCGGTGTGAATAAAGTTGGGCAAGATTTCGTACCTGTCTACAGATGCATGAACTGAGACCACTTTTTACGTAGTGAACATGGTGCTTTTTTTATTTTGTGTGTCTAGTCGCGGACGTTAGGTGCGCCCGGTGCGAATCTCGATGGAATCTGGAGCGATATGACGAGAACGTAACTGGACACGTTTGTCGCTACGCGAACGCCCGATTGCCTCCAGCCAAATAGCATTCCTTTCGGGGCGACATGGCTGCTAGAAGGCTCACTGTCGGGATCACGCATCTGACATCTCCAAAAAGTCAGCATTTGCACGCGCAAACAAGCAAAACAAACACAAAAAAAAAGCACGCTAAGCAAGCAAGAACCGCGCTATGAAAGCCAAAACCCCGCGTCGCTTCCTATCACTAACACCTGCGACAGCTGCTAAACACACACCACTTCACTTCAAGAAGTGTCACTCAAGCACCTGGGTCAGCACAAAACACTGATCACTTTGCCGAAACGATTAGTCGAGGTAGGCGAGACAGGCGGTAGCAGAGACTTTGGCGGCCATGAAAGAATGGCGAAGCTTTTGTTTGTTATGTATGAATCCAAACGGAAGTGCCCGTCTTGTAAACCTTTTGTAAAGAATAATAACTCTCATCACATGGGTTATTCTTTAAACGTAAAAATATGCCGCTCAAAAGGAAATTGCAACAAATAACAAAGGTTTAACAACCAAGATCTAAGCTGTCAATCAAAGTCTTAGCCAATGAGAGCCGGTTGGGATTAACGTCACGGAATCCCAACTTCGTGGCGCGCGATTTAAAACGGGCGAAATAGCCGCAAACTAAAATCAGTCTCACGCAATAAATATTGATGTAAAAAATTTTTTTTTCTCGCGGAAAAATTGTTTTTTGACATGCTTGTCCCAATTAGGTTGTTTAAAAAAAATCTTTTTTTTCTTTGCAGTTACCCTTTAACCACTCTGCCACGACTGCGGGACGAGTAGGGGGCTCTGGGATGTGGTAGTAACTCAAGAGCTGGGGATGTCATGGATGAAACGTTGCAGGTAGCCGCTCAATGTCTATACAGGAGAGGGCGCTGCGGTCAAATGCATATACAATCGCGTTAAACTTTGCATGCATTGGCTCAACATTTATAGACGAGAGGGCACTGCGGTCAAATGCTCAAATGCATATATAACCATGTTCCATACCACACATTCTCTTTCTGACTTGGACCGTTGACTTAAGCGGTGGAGATGCGTTCCCACGGCTTCTAGCGGATCCAAGTTGATCCGATAGAACCACAACTGGCTCTGCATTGCACCAACCATAAAGCGGTAATAATGAAGTCGAAACGCAGCCCGGAACTCAGCACTACCTATGAGCAATAAAAAAAAAATCAGCACCATGAGCACTACCTAGGAACAAAATCAGTATCATCAGCACCACCATGCTTTGCCCCAATCAACATCACTCACCACGTGACGATGCGGTCGTCATTTTTCCGCTTAATCCGGCTTGATGTGTTAGTTTGCGCGTGTTGGGGCTGAATAAAGTTGTCGGCTCTTGTAAGAGGTGCACCACTGCTCTGTGAATTGTGCCA